TGAGACAGGGTCTCCTTGTAGCCCCAGCTGTCCTGGAACTCACTATGTAGACCAGGCTGGCCTCGAACTCACAAAGATCCATCTGCCTCTGTCTCCCGAGTGCTGGGATTAAAGGTGTGCACCACCACGCCCGGCATGGCTCCCGACAATAACCCACATTTTTAATACCAGTACTCAGGGGACAGAAGCAAGTGGAATTCCAGGCTATCTGGGGCTAGACGTTGTCTCAAAAAATCAATAATAATAATAATAATAATAATAATAATAATAATAATGTAGAGAGCAGGTAAGGACCCAATTTGACCTCTGGATTTCATACATGCACACACTCACATTCGTGCACACACAAACATATACACACATATATAATACATATATAATTAACTAATATAAAGAAAAGTCAAATTTTACAAAAGCAGGAAATGCCATCAAGAACAATGGAAAGTCACTGGTTAACTTAAATATTATTTCCTCAGCATCTACAATGTGCCCGGCACTGTTCAAAGCTTAGGGATTCAGACAGGCAAACCAAGACCCAGCTCTCATGAAGCTTGAAAATTGATTCAATGCCTTTAACCCGAAATACTGTTGAATCATCACAATGAGCCAGTTGCTGAAACAAATGAGTCTCATAACTGGAAAAGGAGTAATCAATGTGAAATAAAATAAAAAGAATCGGATTCCCTTGTGTTTAGAATTCTAATCCCAGTGGGCTCAGTTGAAAATGAAGAGGACCTGTTGAAATGCACAGAGCTACTCAGCATTCCAAGTGAAAACTGAGCTCTATTGGAACAAGAGCAAGACATTCCAGTTTTTACACCAGCATTTTTTCCATATGAAACCAATTTTGTTAAATAGCTCAAGAATATCTCTGGAGACTCAGCATTTAGAGGACACTTGAAACTTGAAACCTGCAAACACACCATAAATTACAGATTTAAAATACGGAACTGGTTGAGGGAATTTAGCATGCTAAGCTCAGTGCCCCACAAGCCTCAAGCTCTAGATTCAGTTCTGGGCTCACTCAGACTTGGGCACTTCTCTAGGGCTGTTTCCTCTTCTAGGACATGAAAAGGATGGTGGCACCTGTCAGGGTTGGCTAGCTGCTATGGCAATTCAAAACCTCAGTAAGCTGGCACAGGAAAATAGCTTTCTTGCTCACATCATGGTCCAGTGCTGATTAATGGGGTGGATCTGCTTTCCCTCAGCACTCAGGGAACCAGGCTTTGCAGCCATGTGGTTCCATCATCTTCTAGAAGCCCTGTCCTCCTCAGCATTCAGTTGCTGGGTGAAGAAAGAGAAAAGATGGGGAGGAACATGTGTGCCTTGTTTCCTGGAATAGCCCCTGAGGGAGCTTTCATCCTTTCTGATCATTCCAATGGTCAGAACTCAGTCACTTGACTATGCCTGTTTGTAGGAGGCTTGCAGTGTGGTCTAACTGTGTCCCTGGAGGAAGAGGAAATAGTTTGGGAATACAAAGTAGACTTCACCACAGCCTTTACTCCAGAAAGTATCTTGAAGGATGAAGTGAGATATAAGAACTCATATGGATCTCTGGATCAATAAATACCAGCTCGGGGCTGACTAGGCCAAGGCCTGTCTCCACTCAACTCAGCCTATGTAGTAGAGAAGGCTAAAGCACTATCACCTATCTTTACATTATCTACAGAGATGACTATAAAAAGAGAACTTTCAAAGATGCTCCTGCCCCTTGCCTTCTCAGAAGATATCTTAATCTCAATTCATTCTGAATACAATTCATGTGAGTAAGAGGACTGAGCAAAAAGAGGCTGTCCTTCACCCACCTCTGTTCTTCTGGCTGCCATGAAGTTACTTCTTCTAAACAGTATAAATCTGATCATTCCATCACCCACTTAAAATCCTCTACTGTCTTTCCATTGCGTTTAGAATAAGATCTAAATCATTTATAGAGTCAGTATCCTCTCTGACCTCCCTGGATCAGCCTCTGTTTCCCCTAGCAAGTTTCCCCTTCCCTAGTCCGTTCATTCACTCATCCAACAAGCCTTTGTTGTAGGCACTGGGACCACAGCAGCCAGGCAATGTCGACTCCTTGGTGGAAATTGTATTCTAGCATAATGTCCAGCTCAGGGGTCTTCCTTGATCACCCCCTCAGCTCTGTGGCTTGGTGCTGGGTGCTCTCTTCTTTCAATCCTCTCAGAAGCCTGTTTAGAACAGATCTGACCCCATGGTTATTCTAGGGCAGTATCTTGTGTACCTACTGCATGCATTTACCAATCCAGAAAAATCCTCTGTCTCCTCCATCTGTCTGTCTTCCTTAATCCCCAGGAGGGAGGCATCTTGTTTCTCTTATTCACTTTTGCATCCTCAGCCCATATTAACCTGGCAAAAAGTAGAAACTCATCAAATATCTGTTGAATGAATGATTTAATGAATGAATGAACTAGCAAGCAGCAACCAACCCATTGTTGATGACTTTCAGCCACAGGGGAGAAGTATGTGTGCTCTTGTTTCCTTCCTGGGAGCCTGCATTCATCTCTGTCCCCTCTGATCATTATATTACAGGGAATGACACCACTCCATTGGGCAGCTTTCCACAACCGGCCCCAACACACCCAAATGCTGTTGAAGAAGGGGGCAGATCCTACTCTGGTGGACAAGGACTTTAAAACAGCTCTCCACTGGGCAGTCCAGGTGAGAAATGAACTGTGGGCTTACCTTAAGTTTAAATGATGTAAAGCAGTGTTAACCATTGTCCAAGCAGGCCAGTCATAAAAGGTGCAATTACCACAGGTAAAAGCCCTGATATTGATGTGAAATGTGTAAGATAAAGCAGATAAGATTACCTCTACTCCCCTCCCTCCTTCTGAATTCAGAAGGGCAATAGCAAATGTGTCACTTGGCGCCATTACCTTGGCTGTCTCTCTCTCTCTCTCTCTCTCTCTCTCTCTCTCTCTCTCTCACACACACACACACACACACACACCTCACACTCTCCACCTCAATGCTTACTAATGGCTTGCAGTAACTTTCAAAGGATCATTGGGAAAATTCCTTCAAAATCTTTGAACCAGTTCTTCGACTTCCAGCCCAATCTTCCACAGCTACGTCATTGCAAGTGATCCTGAATTTTATAAGGAACATTGGAAACAATGACTCACATTCCTGCATCATTGTCGTAGGAGTTAGTCCACGTCAGTCCACACACTTCATAATAGCAGAATAGACCTGAGAAGTCTAGAGTCCAGAGAAGGTCAAAGTGAGATGAAGATGAAAGAGGATAAACATTAACAGGTCTGACGTATATCCTATTGTCAAGGGGTGGCCTTACTAACAGATTAATGAGGGAGTTACCGCTTCCCATCTTCAGTACAGTACAATGCTTCCTTCAGCAGGTTGACTAGCCCATGCTGGCTTCTGATGCCTATGCACAGATCCCCACTATTCTCTGCCATCGACCCACTCAAGGTAGCCTTTCAAAACTACTGCCAGCATCCTTGTGAGAGTCATCTCCACTACCCTGACTGTGGTTTCACTCAGTGTTTTCATGTGGCAGAAGTGGCACCTGGGACTTTCAGGACTGACACATGTGCCTGAGGTAAGGGGAAAACAGAAGTGATGTGGAAACTGCTCTATTTTTGTCCCTCTAAACTTGGCTTCAGTTATGCTGCACCAGAGCCAGCCCTGGGCAAAACTACAAAGTGAGCAAAACTTGTTTTTGCCATCTCCACCTGCCTCGACAACCTCCTACAAACTTTCAATATTTAATTCCCTTTCCTCCATCCCAGCCCTAGTTCAGAACTCATAAAGTAGCCTTTGTGATGCAATCCCCAGCAAAGCTTAGAAAATGACAAGACTTCCAGATGTCAACCCAGACCTTCTAAGTCAGGCTTTCTGGGGATGGGACCTCTATTCTTATCCTCTAGGAGGCAGTTTGGCAAAATTGGAGCAATGGCATACTCTGAATTTCTTTGGTAGGCCTGGATTTGATCTAAAGAGAGTGACCCACACCTGTGTGTCTTAACTCTATGTATTTGGGGTGTGAATATGAATGAGACCACACATAGGACAGCACTGTGTGATGTGCAATGGAATTGGAAGAGACAAGTCACTTTGTCATGGTTTCTAACTTGTATGGAGTCTTGTCATACTCATGCCTTAAGTAGTCTGTTCTTTCAATGATCATGCTAGAAATAATACAGCTTCCAACCTGCCACATCCACGAGACTCATTTGAAGAGTTAAGTAGTATGGTGCTCAGCCCCCAATTCTCAGACTCTCATTCAGCTATTCTAAGGTGTGTCCCAGGCATAAATAGTTTCCAAACGCATCCCCTCCCCTGAATATTATACTGTTTCTAGAGTTGATAACTATCTTAATGGGTGCCAATGTCTTGTTTGCTCCTACCTACTATGTTTGCAAACTGACAAAGATCATACACACTAATAAATGCCTCACTCATTTATCTGCTCCCATCATTTAATATATATTTCTAGAGCATCTACTATGTGCCTAACACTGGAAGTAAAATGAGTAACCAAAAATGTCCCTGTTAGTTCCCCCACAATGGTATCCAGTATCATATGGGTGGGTGGTGGATGATGTGCTTGCATTCATTTTTCTGAGGAAAGAGTTCACAGCTTTCTTTAGTTCTCAATGGTAGTCCGTAACAAGCCCAAAAGTGTAAAGAATCCTGGCTCTGGAGCTGTGGTTCCCTATCCCTTCCTGTGGCTAGAAGTAATAGTAAATTCTGACTATTCTGCCCTATCCACTGCAAAGACTAAAGTGTTATTCCAAATGTCAGTGGACGTGATTGTTGCTCTGGCCTTCTGCAGTCTTCTTGCTCTTTGTGACATGGGACCAGCATTGTGCTCCTTTGAAGTTTTCCCACATGAATGAGTCTACTTCCTATTGTCATTTATTCCTTTTGCTCAACTTCCTGCTTTTCTCTTTGACCATACAATGAGATCCCATTTAAAGATACAATGCTTGGAAATAATAAAGCCTTTGTATTTGGCCCAAACAATTAAAGCAGTAAAGATCTGAAACATCAAGCCCAGAAACAAACTACCTTCAACTTCTGCCCCTACTTCATAGGTCCCTCTGTAGCTGGTGATCCCTGGCAAATGGCCCACTGTCCTTTTTCATTCTCTCATTTGCCCAGGAGATGCCAGTGTATGGCCATAGCTGGGCTAGCAGAAGCAGAGTTACTTTCTCCCTATGATATCCTCCCTAAGTGTCATCCCAAGCCCCAGAGTCATGTTCTTACCAACCCATGATGACACCAGCTTCCCTTCTACAGCAGTTAGACAAGTACAGAGTGAAGTAACCATGAAACCTCAAACCTCTGAAAACATGAGCCTAGATAACCCCTTCCTCCTTCAAGGTGTTTTCCTCAGGTATTTATCACAATGACAAAAAATTGACTCTAGTCTATAGTAAGTCTTTAAGTGGGATAATATCAGTCCTCCAACCTTATTGTCCTTTTTCAATGTTGTGTTGGCTATTATGGGTACTTCGTTTCTCCTTGTAAACCTTAGAATCAGTTGATCAATAGCTGTTGGAAATACATTGAATCTGAATATCAAATTGGGAGGTGTGGTAGTTTGAATGAGAAGTGGCCCCATATGTTCAAGTAGATGAACATTTGTCAGTTGGTGGCACTGGAGCTTGGAGAGCTTCTAATTTTCCACCATCAGATATGATGTTAATTTTAGGTTTTCTATGGTTGTTCTTTATCAAGTGGAGGGAGTTCCTCTCTACTCCAAGGTTGTAAAGAACTTTATCATGACTATGTGTTGAGTTCTGTTAAATGCTTTTTCTGCATCTATTGATATGATCCTGTGATTTTTTTTTCTTATAGCGTGTTGGTATATTACATTAATTTATTTTGAAATGTGAACCAGCTTTGCATACCGGGGTTAAATTCTACTTGATAATGATATAACTCTTTTTTCAAAATATTTTATTTATTATTTTTATTTTATGTGTATGAGTGGATTGCCTGCGTGCATGTGAGTGCACCCGTGTCATGCAATGCCTAGGAGGTCAGAAGAGGGCCTTGGATTCCCCTGGAACTGGAGTTAAGGATGGTTCATAGCTGCCATGTGGGTGCTGGGAATTGAATCTGGGTCCTCTGCAAGAGCAGTCACTGCTGTTAACCACTGAGCCATCTCTCCAGCCCCGATTTTTACAGTCTTTTGAGACAGCGTATCATAAGGCAGCCTGGAGAACTCACTATGTAGACCAGGCTGGCCTCGAACTCACAGAGATCCATCTGCCTCTGCCTCCCGAGTGCTGTGATTAAAGGTGTGCGCCACCACACCCGGCCAATTATTTTTATTTTATGTGGATGAGTGTATTGCCTGCATGTGTATAAGTGCACCCGTGTCATGCAATGCCTGGGAAGGTCAGAAGAGAGCGTTGGATTCCCCTGGAACTGGAGTTCCAGATGGTTGTTAGCTGCCATGTGGGTCTGGGACTCGAACCTGGTTCCTCTGCAAGAGCTGTCAGTGCTCTTAACCTCTGAGCCATTTCTCCAGTCCTATAATTATTTTTCTAAATTGGTGGATTCATTTTAACAGTACTTTGTTGAATATTTTTACATCTCTGTTCATGAGTATGACTGTTCTGTAATTTTAATGTATTTAAGTTTTGATATTAGAGTGATTTAACTCATAGGATGAGCTAGGAAGTAATCCTTATACTTCTATATTCTGAAAGAAATTGTACAGAATTGGTATGATTTCTTCCTTAACTGTTCAGCAAATTTTCTGGTGGACACATCTGGACCTGGCACTTTATGTTTGGGAGGGTTGCTAATTATTGACTCAACTTATTTAAGAAACATTGGTCTGTTTGTAATTTTCTATTTCTTCTTGGGCGTGTTTTGGAAGATTCTGTCTTTTAATGAATTGATTTGTTTTTGTAAATAGGTTATCATATTGTGGGCATAGATTCTTCATAACATTTTTATTATCCTTCTAAGATCCATGGGCTCTATAATGCTGTCAGATTTTAGCAATTTGTACCCTCTCTTTGTTTTTCTTAGCCTGGCTTATTAATATATTGGTCTTGTCAAAGAACCAATTCTTTCAGCACCATTATTGTTTCAATTCTTTCTTCTGTTCATCTCTCTCTTCTCATTCTGATATTCCCATTGACTGTGTGTTCTGCTCTCTTATTTTTGCTTTTGCTTTTCAACTTTAGTAGTGTTATGTTCCTGGCAGGCTCCAGCTCCTATGTTTTAAAATGGAGGGTTCGAATTTAGCTCCAGGCAAATCCCCCTGCTTATTAGGGGACCAACCAATCCTGAGCTGAACTGCCCAGCCTACGTCATGGAAAGTTACCCAATCACCTGACTGCCTATAAAAGATCTCTGACTCCATCTGCACTTGGCTGTTTCTCTACTGTTTCTTGTCACTGTTCCCCTGCTTCCTGGAGATGCAGCCCAGTGGTCTGTTTGCTCTTAAATAAACTGCGCCCCTCCTCCCCTTCTCCATGTCCTCTTCCAAACAGGGAGTGTCTGTGAGAGTTTACCAGTATGCCCAGCAAATTTTTTTTGGTCTTTTTGAGACAGGGTCTCCCTATAGCCCCAGCTGGCCTGGAACTCACTATGTAGACCAGGCTGGCCTTGAACTCACAAAGATCTGCCTGCCTCTGCCTCCCAAGTGCTGGGATTAAAGGCATGCGCCA